AGAAATCGCGAAGAGAGAGCACTGGTTTGTGTGTATGTGTTTGTGTAAGAGAGAGAGAGTGAGAGAGAGAGAGAGAGAGCACTAGTTTGAGAAAGGGAGAGAGAGCACTGGTTGGCCTCTCGCCGGAAATCGTCTCTATCTCTCTCTTAGAGAATGAACAGTGATGCTTGGTGATTTATATAATGGCAACTTGATAATACTTCAAATTAGTAAAGGGCATTTAAGTAATTTTGCTCCTCAATTTTGTAGCTTCACGCTTAAGCTGATGAGTTAAGCATCCCGGAGGCCACTCAGCCAAAAAGTATTTTTTTGGCTTAATTTATGCTACAAAAAGTGATTTTAAATTTTACCAAATACACCAAAATAGCTTAAAATAATCTACAAGCTGATTTAAGCTACTTATAAGTTCGACCAAACGGGCCCAAACATTGACTTTGCTCTGTTTGGTTGAAATATGAAACAGCCCACTGTTCCTCTTGCAGTGGAATAAAAATATTTGGTTTATGAAGTTGTGTTTTTTACTTCTTTTTTTATTATTTTTTTTTTTCACACCTATAAGCTTATTATTGCATATCAATATTAATAAATATAAAACTTCTCAGCAGAACCCAAGTGAACAGTTCAATTTCTAGTAATTTAACTTCAACTTGATACAAGCCCTACAAATACCAATGCAATAGTAATGATGATCTTCGTTTGAGAATAATTTATTTTAATAATTTTTTAATTTTTTTATAAAATAGATGTGTAAAAAAAAGTAGAGAATGTGAGTAGACAACTTATACTGATTCTTTAACATTTTGACTAAAGGCAGTGGCTTTGGTCCAGTCCAAGATCGAACTGGACCGTGCTGTTGGGCCCGTGAGGATCCACCACGGGTCTCGTTTTTGATAATCTGAACCGTTCAATGTGTAGAACTCGTCAAGTACTATATGTCTGTAAAAAATCACATTGATCGGATATCGATAACTATGTGAACAAAACAGTTTTTTATCAACCGTTAATTTTTTCACCGTCTATTTTTTTTTATACAAAACTGATTTGATCACATAGCTATTGATATCCGATCAACGTGATTTTTTATAGACATATAGTACCGACGAGTTCTACACATTGAACGGTTCATATTATCAAAACGGGCCCAAAAAATGGGCTCCATGGGCCGGACTGGACGGGTCCAATCTTGATCTCAACTTGAGACAAGCTGGACCCTTGACTAAAATATATAGTTGACAAATGAAATGTGCATTATCCAATAGAGAAGCCATTTTCCATACAAACACCAGATGGCATAGGTGGAGTGTTTAGTTTCATGATCTTCAATTATGATCTTTGGGTGTGTTTGACTAGGGGGATTAAGGGGAGGACTGTTCGGATTGTTTATCTGAAGGAGTGAGTAGTCTATCGTTTGTTTTTTTTTTAGTCCGCCGGACATGGAATCCGAGTGAACTCCTTATCTCCCATATGGGGGATTATAGGGGGGTGTGCGACAATTTTGGAAGGACTATTTACTGTTGGAATTAAATAGTAAAATGATCATTTTGACTCTCTACTATTTAATTATATATTATATTTAATAAAATTCAATAAAATTTAAATGTCTCGATTTAAAAATAAAATAAATTTATTTAACTTTTTATTGATGCTTTATTTATTTATTTATTTTAAATAATTTTTTATAGATATTTTATTGATGTTTTATTTTAAAATTTCGTTTATATTTTATTTAATTTCATTATTTAAATCTTAATAGATGTTTTATTTAATTTCATTGTTTAATTATTATTATTTTTAAAAACAAATTTATTTAAAAGGGTAAAATAGTCTTTTGTTCATTTATCCTATCCAATCCATTCAACCAAACATTGGATTCACTAAAAATAGTCATTTCCAGACATGTAATCCCATGAGAAAACAAACACATGATATATATCCAATCCAACCAAATTGTCCGGGAGATTGATAGTCCGGGAGATTCACAATCCCAGGATTCAAGTCCGATGGATTCTAATCCCTCCTTATCCAGTCCGTCCAATCAAACACACACTTTAGGTATTGCGTTACCTTGATTAGCCGGTCTAGGTTTCTTGTTGTTGTTCATGTGTTCTAGAATATTATTTGCCATTGATTATATTCTTCAATATTAAGTGTTGCCAGATAAATTTTATTTTTTCTTAGATTGATAAGGTGCTCAAGTAAATACTTTCTTATGTAACTCTCATATTTACACTTTTTTGACAGATGCAATAAACTGATATTTTTATCTTTTATGAAAAAATAAAAAAATAAAAAAATCAGCCAAAACACTTTGACTTACAAAATCATTGGCCAATTGCAAAAATCACATATTTCACAAAACAAAATAGTAATATAGTTTTTATTTTTCATTAAAATGCCATGGTAAGAGCAACTCAGATAAAGAAGAAAAGTTAATAAAATTATTAGTTTATACAATATTATCTTAATTAAAAAAATTTAGAGACACCTAATGGCTAATAATAGACCACATAGATGGTGGTCTATAGCAAGATTGGTCTTAAATTTGTGTACCCATCATGCCCACCTCTTGTGAGAGGGGTCACCCATGTGGTCCATTATTAGGTGTATACAATAGGGTTTGTCTTATATTTTTATTTTATATTTTAATTTGATTTACATATGATCTTATAATAAGATCTAATGAATTACAATCATAATGATAAAAATTAAATACAACAAATATTTGAGTATCAATCAAAGTTTCAATACCATCTTATATATTGCTTAAGTATCAATCATGATTTTGGACATAATAATTAGCTTAGTGATTCATAAAATTGTTTATTAAGATAGTAAAAAAATTAAAGATTCAAGATTTAAATAGATGGAGCGGCTCCACCCTTTAAACAATCTATCTATATAATAAAGTATGTTTTCCTTGGTTCTTAAAAAAATAAAAAAAAAGGTTAGTTTAATAGACTTCACCTATATGTCTTATAACAATGCATCCATTAGTGACACATGGACATGCATTTAAAAATTTAATATTTAATAAATTTAGTTGTAGCATTATTAATCCACAAAATGGAATCTTATCTAAAAAAATTTAATAGACTTTTCTTGTGAGTTACGATTTTCATTTTATTGGATAGAATTGTACGAATTCACCTGTGTTGTGGGGCTATTCTCCTAATATTTGTAGTGCACTTCAATTCACAAATCACGTGAAGTTATATGTTTATTTTTAAATATTAGGAGAATAAATTAACAGGAAGTGTAAAACACACAATAGACATAACAAGTTTTCTACTCATTTTCAAATTTTAATAGGATAAATTGCACATAAAATAAAATAAAGGAGGTTAAAATACACTTTGCTTTCCAAACAAATCACAGAACACAAGGATATTTTAATATTTTTCATTAAATCGTTAACGGGACCTAACAGTGTACTTCGGTTCACAAACCATAAGGGGGTTACGTTGTTATTTCCAAACGTTAAGGGATAAATCGCACATGGCCCAAACCATAAGGGATAAAATTTTCCCTAATATTAAATAATCCCTTTTAACATATTATTAGAACTTACTTTCTATATTATAATTTAATAGGATTGAAGTTTTCTCAAATTCAAATTCAAGAGGCCCGTAAACTCGCCATAAAATGGAATCTTATCTAAAAAAATTTAATAGACTTTTCTTGTGAGTTATGATTTTCATTTTATTGGATAGAATTGTACGAATTCACCTGTGTTGTGGGGCTATTCTCCTAATATTTGTAGTGTACTTCAATTCACAAATCACGTGGAGTTATATGTTTATTTTTAAATATTAGGAGAATAAATTAACAGAAAGTGTGAAACACGCAGTAGACATAACAAGTTTTCTACTCATTTTCAAATTGTAATAGGATAAATCACACATAAAATAAAATACAGAAGGTTAAAATACACTTTGCCTCTCAAACAAATCACAAAACACAAGGATATTTTAGTATTTTTCATTAAATCGTTAATGGGGCCTAACAGTGTACTTCATTTCACAAACCATAAAGGGGTTACGTTGTCATTTCCAAACGCTAAGGGATAAATCACACATGGCCCACACCATAAGGGATAAAATTTTCCCTAATATTAAATAATCCCTTTTAACATATTATTAGAACTTACTTTCTATATTATAATTTAATAGGATTGGAGTTTTCTCAAATTCAAATTCAAGAGGCCTGTAAACTCGCAAATAATTTTCTTGAGAAGATCTACGGAATTACATGACGAAACCATGTTGTTTGTAGTCCACATACAATCTCAGTCAATTACAGATTTTATTTTGATAATTTAATTTGTTTATTATATAAGTCTTCATATGTTTATTACTCATAAAAAAAAATAAATAAATAAATTTAGGTTGATATGATAATTATATCCATATTTTTTTCTTCATAATTTTTTTTAAAAAAAAAAGGAAAAAAAAAGATGGTATGAATATTTTGAAGATAAATAGTCTTTTTTTGTATATATATATGAATAGATGACAAAATGAAAAAATACTACAATTATCATATCAATAATTTATATATATATATATATATATATGATATATAAATAAGAGTTTACAAAATAAACAATTCTAATCACCAAAACAGAATTCGAGCCCCACAGTCGTTCAAGTTCTCTGAAATTGAGAAACGTCCAATTCAATTTGATAATGACAATCACCTTAGAGTAGCTCCAAACAATTCAATAATAGTTGAGTATAATTGTGTCTGATAACATCAGGAATATCATACAGTTGTCTAGGTGCAGCGCAATCACCCTCATGAGCTGTGGGGTTTTGAGTAGTAAATCACGGGTATGAGGAAGCAAGAATGTGATAACTGCAAATTTTGAGTCCACAAATTTTCTCCAAAAGAATTATAAACTCTGGTTCTTGTACTTTTGGCTTTTGAATTTATTCATAGAGAGGACCATGGTTGTCAGAAAAAGCGACACATGATAATATTAATGAGGGACTGAAACATAATTTTCTGGAAGATTCAAAATTTACTAGAAAAAGGGAAGTCAAAAAATCACATTTGGTCTCCAAAAATCTGTAGGCTAACAATATCCGAGCCATTCATATCAACACCGCGTCACAAGCAACACGAATGAAAACACTATTCTCTCTCAAACTGTTTTAGCATTCTCGAGAACATTATAGTCTAGTTTTTTTCACTTTACAACATAAGCCAGTGGGCAAATCCAAGCCGCACAAAATAAAAGAAAATGATGTTACCTTTCAGATTTTGTGTTACAAAGCAAACACGCTGGCTGAGCTTGGACAATAGTGGGTTAGGGTTATGGGAAGAACCACATCTTGATGAAGAGTGCCAAACCCATTTGCAAAATAAAAGCAGCAACTAGCACCATTGTAAGATCATTATTCCCCTCTATATGGGACCTGAGGTTCAAGGCAACAAAGGTAGCCGATGCACCACCAGTAATGATAATGATGATCCACCGGAGAAATTCAACTGGGATAACCAACAGAAACTGAAAATATTCCAGGAGAATGTGTCACAAAGTCACATAATCATAATATTGCAAACAAGAAGTGAAAAATTTTGTATGAAATAAGAAAAATAACATGAAAAAAGAAAAGAAAAGAAGAAGTCCTAGAACTACGTACATAACAAACACATTAGAAGACAACTCAATTAGCTTAAATTTCTCCTGCCCAAATGGAACAGAATGATGTGCTTTAGTTATAGAACTTCAAAATATAGCAAATTAAGGCTGTGTTTGGATCATGGATTTAGGTGGAGATTTGGATAGCAAAAGGGAAAAAGGTGAAGCAAATGTGAATCAAATATAAGCTAATTTTTTTTTCCACTTCCCTTTCCCTTTCCAAATCCATATCCCAATCCATGATCCAAACAAAGTGTAAGTGTAGCATTCAACTCATTCATGGAACAGCAAGCATCAGACCAGCACAATGTTTAAAATGTTGCTTTACATGAACCTGGAAGATTTAACCAGAGCCAAAATTTTGTTTTGGTAATTACATGATCTGAAATTTACTTACTTAGAAGGGAGGCTCATCAAGTAAACCCTCTTCTTGGTTTAAATATTCCCGAAGTAGCTAACATATATGTATTTCGTAGAAGACCTCTCAATCCCATAATACAAGTAATTGACAGGAATGAAAATGGAAGCATTTGTTTTTATAATCCCCCTTCTGTAGGCTGTTATGCATTTTTTTTAAAACTTACTTTAACAATTAGGAAATTTTGAAACTTTATTTCCAAACTACATTAAAACATGATTCGTAAACATGTTTTTTTTAAAGTGTGTTAAGCAAACATGCTTTTAAGTTGATTTGGCCAAATACAGTAACCATAAACTAAAAAAAAAAAATTAATAGCAATAAGTAAAAAAATTCATTTGCTAACCATGCCTTCTGGATAAATTAAAAAGTGTGCTTAGACCCATGCTTTCAAGCTAAAGCAAATTTAGTTAGGAAGCGTGGTTAGTTGTTTTTTATGCTAAAACAAAAACTTATTTGAACTTTCAGCTTTGTACAAAAAACAAAGGGTGGTACGCTTTTTAATTTATCCAGCAAGTGTGGTTAGCGACCACACTTTTACTTTGAATTTATTGCCTTATTTTATTCTTTAATTTACTATTACTTTCAGCCAAATAAGCTCAAAAGCATAGTAGCGAAACATGCTTTCAAGAAAATGAGTATAGCAAAATCCCCTAGTTTAAATAAAGTAATGCATGATGATTAAAGAGCCTCTTCTCTTCCTCCAAAGTGGGGCTCAATTATCATGAGCAAACTAAAGCCAAAATTGATACTTACAGAGCTGAGAACAAGTATGAAGAACGAATATCCCCACATGCACCAAAAGCGTACAAGGCTGGCATTTGAACCCAGATACTGAAGCAAAAAGTAAAATCCCAATGGCACAACTACTGCATAGCCATATATTGAGCACGCTGCCAAACTTATGTAGCTGACATCAAAGCTCCATGAAGTACTACTGTCACTGTGCTTGTTCATCAAGTAGGTGCCACAGTTTCCAAGGGCAGCAATAACAAATACCAATGTGGTGGTGATCCAAACAAGCCCGTAGCTGAAATATCAGAAAAGTTAGTATGACCAAGCGTACATGGTATTTATACTAATGTATTGGAACATGAATTCCTTGAAAATGATCACTGAAAAATGAGGTCGTCAATGTAACATTCTGGAAATACCATGGATGTGGGAAGGATATACAGTTATAAGCTATCCACTAGAGGATGTACAAATGGGTATGTATGTACACAGGATAACAGGCTTATTTCCATAGAGATAAGAGGTCCATGTCGAAGTGGTTGAAAAAAGGTTCATAGAAAAGCTTTTCATTTCTTATCAGTGCAGTAGGTTAGTGAATTATTCTTATACTTTGTATGTTTGGTTGTCTATTGATCGTTTAGGCAAACAAAGACTGTTTTTTGATACAGTGGTGCTACATGCACCAATTAGTGTACTAATTAGTGTACCAACACTAGTTATGACATTATTATTGACTCACCTCATTAATCACATTATAAATATCAAAAACCTTTTAAATTATGCCACATCATCAGTTGGTATACTAGTATACATATAGCATTATTCTTTTTGATAAGTAGGCAAACAACACTTTTTGAAAATCGAGGTTAGTGACTTATTGATTTTTAAGTTAAAAAACAAGGTTGCCAAACGAGGCCTTAGATAAGAAGGATTAGGAAGCTTGGTGTAGCTATTACTTTATTAAAGTTAATTGTTAATTACATATCACTACAATAACACCCAAAATAAAATTTGAAAAAATGTGTAGTTTTTAAAGTGCAAGTGAGTGTTTCGTGTTATATAATTAAATTAATATATATAGCAATACAATCAATAATACAATTCTCTATTTCTCTTTATACATTAAATTTCTACATGAGTGTTTCATGTTATATAATTAAATTAATATATATAGCAATAAATCCGAAATGGTATGCCAAAACACACTGTTATCGGTATATTCCATACAAATGACCAAAACAGTATGCTAGTCGATATGGGATTTGAAAAAATTTGTAGTTTTTAAAGTGCAAGTGAGTGTTTCGTGTTATATAATTAATTTAATATCTATAGCAGTAAATCCGAAATGGTATGCCAAAACACACTGTCATCGGTATATACCATACCAATGACAAAAACAGTATGCTAGTCAACATGGGATTAACAACATTGGACCACATAGATAACCTATAAGTCTGAGTAGCAACATTTTGATATCCAATTGACATGTTTCCTATTATTGGAAAACTCTCATTCCCTTATTTGATTTTCTACTTAACATTTCAGTGATTTCACTGTGACGATATCAGTATCCATCATCCATCCTTTCATAAGGTCCCGCCTCCATACCCTTACTCCGGAAAAATTAATCTTCCTCCACTCATCCACCTTTCCAACTTTGGCCTTATAGTTACAGAAAATGACGAATTTTGAATTATATATTTACAACAACAAAAAAAAAAAAAACCAGAAAAAGAAGTCTCACAACAACCAAACAGAGTGCAAGTAAAACCAACAGGTTATCTCTGTTTATGATAGTTGTAGCCATATATATAAGTAAAAATTTGCAGAACTCACAGATCAGGGTTTGCTTCAATCTTGTTGAAAAAATCTCCATTAATAGGATACAATGAGCTCATCAATCTGTTCAACACGATATCTGTGTCTACATTGAAATATTGTGTGTAAGATGAGATGTTAAACACTCCCTTCCAGTTGTTCGTTGACGACATTTGTTCAACTCCTTCTGCATGATTAGCTGGGTAGAAAAATATTAGTGGCTGTCATATCACATCAATACATATTTCCGTAACTCAGTAGTGACTTTGTTGCACATTACTCTTTAGGGATTACGTAAACATAAATTGACAGCATCTGAGTACTTGTTCTTTTTTTCATTTTTATATAACAAAAGGTTGTTAAGAAAACTGCTGTAGCAGTTTGCACACGAAGCATACTGCAACAAACAGAAAATTAAGCCCCATTGAGAAAAGATACACCTCCTAGGAACTGTAGTTACATGAAAATAAACTATCCCAACACCCAACAGAAAGGAAGCTCAACATTTGGATTTTCAGCTTGACCAAACATTTTTTTTTACATCTTCAAGGAACTTTTACTCTGCTCTAATCAAAGTATTTTGACATAAATCGTCTTCTCTTAAATACTAGGCACAATCATTCTCATCAAAAGTTCTGGTATCATAACGAAGTATTTTCATTGACCAAGGAGTTTATGTTGACCTACAGTTTTCTCAAAATAGGAATGGGACACTCTTCACCACACAACTACAAACAGGAATTAAGCCAAGATGAGTCAAGGAGTAAAAAACGAGTTGATCGGACAAGCCTAGTGCATCTAAGAATGAAGTTATAACTGGACATTTGTATTTAAAATCTCACCATATAATAAAGCACTTTGGAAGTAAAACGCATAGAAAATAATGAACAAATGAAAGTTGGTAAACACTGATTTGCACCTATCAAGTCAACCCATTAATCTCACTATAAAACCAGTTGATGGTCCAACATTGCAAGTAAATCTACGATTTATGCTTCGTCATTGATGAGAACTGTAAATTTTAACAAACTACAATAATCTAACTTGAGAATAAGCAACTCCACTTACACGCTTATCTATTATTGTCATGCATTCTCAAAAAACAAAAAAACAAAGGAAGAAGAAAAGTAACGGCAAGTCTACAATCAGATCTTCTACGCTTTATGCTTCGTCATTGATGAGAATTGTAAATTTTAACACACTACAATAATCTAACTTAAGAATAAGCAACTCCGCTTACACGCTTATCCATTATTGTCATACATTCTCAAAAAACAAAGAAACAAATAAAGAAGAAAAGTAACGGCAAGTCTACAATCAGATGAGTACCTTAGCTACAGAGTTTGTATCATAATCAGATAATTCTATACATTCTACATTCTTGTTTCCATATAATTCAGGATTACAGACACAAATAGATATCTCAAGTCAAGTAGTTAAATAAAATGGTACCAAAACAACATCTATTGTCTTTTTGCTTCAAGCTTGCAGCAAAGAAAATATTATCTATTGGAACATCATATAATTAAATGAATGATCTGTTCATGAGCACTCAACAAGAGTAAGCCATTGGAAAATTATTATCCCCTAAATGGAAAACCTATACAAAACCAATTGTGATAGATGACTGATCAATATAATAACAACCACCATGGTTTCTGTCAAGCTTCAAATGTGGAAAGCAGTCATCAGAATTACATACCACTTGGACTTCCAAGAGTTTGATATCCCTGCCCCCCACCTACACCATTTGGAGGAAATATTTGCAAATTCGCTTGAGGGGCTGCACATAATTTCAGCAGCAAGAAAGAAAATGTGTGATTCAGATTCAACTACAAGTAAAAGAGTCTATAAATGGATATCAAGTTATGATTGAATGGAGATTTACAGTTTGAGCCACATACCCTCATAACTGGTGGTGGTGGCTTTATTTCCTTCAGTGACAACGGCCTGTATGTGAATATCAGGTTATGATTCAATGGAGATTTACAACTAAACGCTTTAAACTATGCAGTTGTTCTAATGTTTTCTCAGTGCATTTATAAGTCATAATCAACAAATTGTAAGACCCAAAAAATCAATGGATTTTACCACCCTAAAAAAAGACCCAATAAATCAATGAAATGCATAAAGCCACATAAAACTTTAAATTCAAAACAAGCACACATCCAACTGGGCATAATAAATTAGATGTGTGTTTGCTTAGCGTAGAATTGTTACTGGTATAGATGGTTAGTCTCTAATATTTTAGTCCATGGGTGTTTTGCATGGAAAGGGATATGCTCGTTACGCTGTGTTTGGTTCATGGATTTGGATAGGGATTTGAAACTAGAAAGGGAAAAGGAAAAGATAGATGAAATGTAATGCAATATACCTACATTTGACACACATTTTCCCTTTCTCTTCCCAAATCCATAAACCGAACACAGCCTCAAGCTTTGTAATTGTTACTTTCTTCAATAAAATTATTACTTACCACCAAAAAACTGGCCATAAGAAGATGCACTTGAGGTTGAAAACAAGTAATTTATTACAGACACACCTAAAATAACTAAAATGACCAAGTTTCAACCCATTATCCATTATAATTATTAATATTTAAACTACTTAAAGCTGGTCATCTAAACAAACTTTAATGACATCAAATAAAATAATTAGTCTTATTATATATATATATATGATCAAATTGATTCTTTGGACATCCATGCTTGACCTAGTAACATACAATAATAATCTTCCAACTTTCTCAGAATTTCAATTTTCCACTTCCTCACTAATTTCTAATACTCCGTTAAATTTCAGAGAGAAAAAATCGATGAAAACGCAATTAGAATAAATTAGCAACACAAACAGTCGTATTAAGCACAGTTTTAATGGAGGTTTTAGCTTCTCCCCCAAATTAATAATAATAATAAAAATCTTCCATTCACGAATTCAATTAAGTATTTTCCCACATCGATCATATACAATCTTGATCACTGAATCACAATGAAAATTAGTCTTGGACTTTCATGCAATCCAACATTAGGGCACAAATTATGTTAAAACCATAACAATTTCACACAAAAGCATATATATGTACATGCAAACACATATATGTATAGAAACATATATATGGAGAGTGAATGAATGCGTACCGGGACTGAACCGAGCAAGTGGCTGGTGGGAAGGGTAGAGAAAGAATCATCCATGGATGGGTGTGTAGAGAGAGATCAAGAGAGAGAGAGAGAGATATTCGTTCAAAGTATCGTCGCATGCGATTGGATTGATCGAGATTAGAGACTCTGAAGATCGTTGAGAACTGGTTCCGAGATCAGCCCCTTTACCTCGCTTTTCTATTTTTCTTTTGCTTCTTCTCATACACTCCGAGATTCTGTTGTGTAATTTGGAAGCAATATGACGACGGAGTGCCGATCTAGACCGGTACAAACTCCCGTTTTGTAAAGTTTGTGTAATTTACACTCACATCCACAAGGTTTGCACTTAATAATTGTATAAAAGATAAATTACGGAAAATTATTTTTTTGCTCCTCGGACAAACTAACGTGGTGTTTTAATTTGATTGTTATAGGTTGGATTAGTGAGACCTATTACCTTCATGTCTCCTTTTAAGAGATAATGGGAGATTTGTCCCTTACATTGTGTTTGGTTGAGAGATTTGAGAAAAGATTCTAAAAGAGAAAAGAAAAAGGTAAGTGAAACGTGAATAAAATAGAGTCCGGATCCTCTCCAAATCTTCTGTCGAGCCATTCTCCGATCAACGGTCAAGATTTAACCACGTCACCCCACTCAAAATCTGTGGTTAAGATTAGCTTAAAAAAAAAAAACTCATTTACATCCTACCACTCACTCACACGCAATCACTCACGTTTTCGCTCTCTCTCTAACATCCCACCACTCTTTCTCTCTCTCTCTCTCTAACATCCCTCTCTCTCTCTCTCTCACACATTTCTAATAAAAAATTAAAAAATTATTTTAATCCTTTTATTTTATTTTCATAATATATATAATTTTTAATATAAAATTTAACTTTATAAATTTAATATCATTAAAAATATACCTTTAAAATAAGACTAATATTAAATATATTTAATAAAAATTTAAAATAAATAAAAAGTATATGTGATTTGCACCAATACACAGATTAAATTTGTGTTTTATTTGATTTGTATCTATACATAGATTGAATTTTTGTATATTTTATTTCCTTTAAAAAATTATAAACTTGTTTGGTTAATAAAATTAAATTAAAAATCATTATTTTCATATGATTTTTTTTAGAATGAAGATTGTTTTTGATATTTTCATATGATTAAAAACTGATTTGGTTAATAAAATTAAATTAAAAGTCATTATTTTCACAAGATAATCATATGAAAATAATGAATTTTAATTTAATTTTATTAACCAAACAAGGTTATAATCATATGAAAATATCAAAAACAATCTTCATTCTAAAAAAAATCATATGAAAATAATGATTTTTAATTTAATTTTATTAACCAAACAAGTTTATAATTTTTTAAAGGAAATAAAATATACAAAAATTCAATCTATGTATAGATACAAATCAAATAAAACACAAATTTAATCTGTGTATTGGTGCAAATCACATATACTTTTTATTTATTTTAAATTTTTATTAAATATATTTAATATTAGTCTTATTTTAAAGGTATATTTTTAATGATATTAAATTTATAAAATTAAAATTTTATATATATCTTATGAAAATAAAATAAAAAGGATTAAAATAGTTTTTTAATTTTTTATTTGAAATGAGAGAGAGAGAGAAATGGGATGTCAGAGAGAGAGCGTGGTGGGATGTCAGAGAGAAAGAGAGAAAACGTGAGTGATTGAGTGTATGTGAGTGATTGAGTGTGTGTGAGTGGTGAGAAGTTAATGGTTTTTTTTATTTATTTTAGCTAATCTTAGCCACAGATTTTGAGTGGAGTGACGTGGCTAAATCTTGACTGTTGACCGGAGGAATGACCGGAGAGAAGAACTGGAGAGGATCCGGACTCAATAAAATATACTTATATTTCACCTAATTTCACACCTCTTTTTCTTTTTCCTTTCCAAATCTCCCAACCAAACACAGTATTAATGAATGATATGGTGTAATTTTCTAAGAATAATCAATAACTTCTCATAAATTACACTAACATCTTTTAAGTTGAAAAAAAAAATATTAATTATATATTTTTGACATAATTATACTAATCACTATTTTATTAATTATAAAAGATAAATATACATTATAGTAAATAAAGATAATATCATTTGTTCATTCATAGACTAACAAATTACTGATAAAAAAAATAGCCCAAATGTTATATGAATTAAATATTAAAATAATTGTTGAAAAGTCTAACCTAAGGAGAATATGTGGTATTAGATTTTTTTTTTTTTTTTTGATGACAAATTCAACCTTTGTGAAATAGTCTTGTGAGAAATCATTTTATTTATTTTGAAAGATATTTTATTTTCAATTTTATCCCTTAATTTACTTATTATTTTTTTTACTATCTATTCAAATTATTTTTTATATGTTCAAATTTATATCTATCTATTCAAATTATTTGACTATCTATTCAAATTTTTTGTCTATCTATTCAATTTATTTACTATATGCTCAAATTTTTATCTGTTCAAAATTTATTTATTCAATTTTTATCTTTCCAAATTTTTTTTTATCAAGTCAGCTTCTGCCAACAATGATCTGTTGAAACCAACCATGATCTAATCTATTGAAATTTGGGTATGCAAATAGATATGAAGAGATAGAGAGAGAGGATTGAGTAGTTTCTAGTTGAAAGAGAGAGAGATAAGAGAGAAACAACTCACAACTCTGTTCAAAGAACAAGAAGAGTAAATCCACAACAACGACTAGGGATGTGCACGGTACGGTTTGGGCGGTGTGAAAGTAAGATTATAAACCGAATAGCGGATTGACAAATTACAATTTGAACAGTTTTGAACGGATTGAAAAATAATCTAACCAATTATTAAGCTTTTACATAATATATAACACTAATTTGCATAATATTTTCCATTTATATAATACAAACTAATTTTACATAATATTTTTCATATGTATAACTACTAATTTGTAATAAATTTTACATATTAAATCTCTTTCATACACATTTTTACTTTGATATTCCATTATAGATTAAAAAATATATTTGTATTAACTATAGTGGAACAGAGCGCTTTCGAATGCGGATCATAAATTTTAAAATTTAAACTGTAATTAGCGGATAGAGCAGTGCAGATGAATACAGATCGGTGCGATTTTAACAGATTGGGCGGTGTTTTGCACAGCCCACACAGCAACAACAACAACAAAAAAATGATCCAATTTAGACCTGAGCCATATATCTCATCTACACATCAGAGTGGAAACTGCGTCGGTGTAGAAGGCAGAGAAGGAGGTGACGGTGCGAGTATAGAAAATAAAGAGAGAGTGATTTTGTTTTTCAAGTTCCCACAAGTTATGAAATATATATATATATATATATGTACAGGGAGCAAATATTCCGGCAAGCCCGTACTTCTTTCTTCCAAGCTCCTGCTTGTCTGATTAACCTGCGAGCATAACGGCGGTGAGCTACCCAGCGGTGTGTGGCCGGAATACCCCTCCGATGATCAAGTTAGACACACACAGGGATAGAGAGAGAGAGAGAGGATTGAGTGTTGTGTATGTATCTCACCAAATGTTTATCTGCTCAGCATGGAGGGTGCAGACTCGCTTATATACCTTCTGCGTCCCAAATTTACTTTCATTAGTCTTTCGACACGTGGTGCTGCTATCCCATCTGTCAGCGCAAATCTAGCTGAACATCACCTAACCAAGCTGCCAGCCCACACTACTGGGAGCTCGGTAGCTGGGCTACAGCATCTCGGCTGCCAAAGGCCGTGTTGTGTTGCTAGCCAGAGCGCTCTGCCCGCCAAGCTCAATGACGACCGAGCTCGGTTGCATTCCGGCATAGCCGAGCTCGGGACAGCTCATGCTGGTTAGCCGTCGGCCTTCCTGCCGGGCTAACCCACGAGCCGTGGAACCCAGTGAGGCAGCGGACATCTCGGCCGAACCATCATTCGACCGGTCTCTGCACACTGAAGCCAAGTAGCTCGGTTCAACCATGCCTTGCCTTGACCGAGCAAAGCCTTCCTAGGCAGGTCCATGCTACCACGACCCAACTGTGTTTGGCCCAAATCTGCCCGATCATTACCACGGCCCAGTCTAGATCATAAATCTCCCTCTCAATTGCCCTTTAATTCCGTCCATCCAAGCGTGACTGGGATTACTTATTCGGACCGGGTTAACTCTTTCTCGGTACTCAGTTTGCAAGCTGATGACCGGGCTAGTTGACATGCCTGTCTTCAAAACTTGCTCGGTCGACGCCTCGTCTTGCCCTCCTGTCTCTTCAACTCTGACGCCGTCGTTTCTGGGGACACGTGTCTCTCGCCTATTGGCCTCGAGCAGCCAACCATCACGTCCCTTCACATTCGAAACTTTTGGTGCTCTTTCACCCCTACAAACATGCCATAACTCACTTCCTCTCGATCTTACTGACTCTCCTGCGTTCTAGTTGTTCCAAAGCTCCTGTGTCTCTTGCAAGCTTCGTTCCTGCCCTCCCTTGCATTCGTGTTCGAAGAACAAGCTCCTGCCCTTAACTGGTAAGTCCTTTGAGCCTCTTTTTTTTTGCTTATTTCATTTGATATTTCACATTTTAGGGCACTAAATCCGTAGGTTTTAAGGATATACCCCCCAAAAAACCCACTCTTGTCCCTATTCTCTTCGATGTTCTTCAGTCCCTGTGATGAACACATAAACACACCTAGAACTAGAGCGGACTGCGCTCTAGGTTGCTTGTTGATCCAAAAAAAAATAGACCAAGCAATTTACAAGTTTGCCAAAACCTTAGTAGAAACCAAGGTAGACAGAGGACTTAGCCGCTCGACCGGGCTAACAACTGGTCTGTTTAAGCGACTGAGCTCCTTGGTTTGCCTTCGCGACCGAGGTGGTTTGGTGCTCTTTATGACCGGGCTAAAGTCAAGCTCGTTTTGCGCAACCGCGCTTCCACTTACAACTGTCATCCTTTTCCTGCAGAGTCCAAGGGGACCACTAACCAATTATCGAGGCTCTCAAAGATCGAGCAGCCATTAAACTCCAGTCTGTGCCAAACCAATTCAGCCGAGCTAAACCAGCCCGCTATACATGGGGCGATTCTGCTTCCTTGTTGACACTCTGGCCGCCTTGGCCATATTCCGGGAGGAGTATGGCATCCCGGCCGACGTCCACCTAGAGCTAGGCGAAATTGAGACAACCCCTTGGGGCAAATTAGACCAGTGCCCCTTTACCATGCTATCCATCATTGAAGGAGGCCTCCGTTTCCCGGTCAATCCACTGATGACCGAATTCTTGCGCCGCACCGGGCTAGCA